GATATCGAATCAACATTATAACAATATCATCACGGAAATTGATACCATTATGACATGAAATTTATATCGTATCCATATCAATTCAACATCGCTCAAATTTTCAAGGTTTCTGTAAAGTATATTATTAATATCATCATCATACTCCATTTCCCAAATATTATCATCATACTCATTATTATTTTCATTGTTAGGTTCTAGATCATGAAAATATGAGGATTTGGACTTTGATGCATCATTTACCATGTTATCTAATGTAGTATCCGGTTGTGGATTTTTTAGTGTAACCAAACATGATGACATAATGGGACTTAAAAATGCATTTGGTATACTTAAATCGGCTGAGTTTTCAATGGGCGATATTTGCTGGTTGTCGTCTCTTTTGCGTTTCTTAGTTGAGCTGGCTCCCGCAAGGTTTTTTTCAACTAAGATAATATGAGGTTTATTTTGTTTTCTTGCTGCAATAGCATTTATTTGATTTCTTCTTAAATCATCATCATCTGATCTCCACAAAATTTTATCTCTTGTATGTTTCTCTTGTGTATGAGGATCAACTTCTGCGCCTTTACAAAGAACACAATGACATGGATATACATACTTCTTTTTGGGCTTTATTAAATCAGTTATAGAGTTTTTGGTATTATTATTATTACTCATTTGTTTGCTAATTATGTGTTATTAAAAATAGCTAATTATTTAAAGAGAGAAACGCGAGTTGAAAGAAATCGATATAATTACCTTTTTAGTCATACGCGCTTTTAAGATCTTGCTTATTTTTTAACACGCGCTCTAAAAGATCTTGTTAATCGTACAAACGCGCTTTGAAAGTTATTGCTAATCGCACGAATGCGCTTTGAAGATCTTGCATTTATTTTTTACGCGTTTTATGTGATCACATTTTTTTATTTAAAAAGGGTACGTCTTTTTTGGGAGGAAGCGAAACTTTTATCGAGTACAAAATATAGTCAAACCTATATAACAATCAAATAAGTGCCAGGTAAAAAAACATTTTATATATGCGCTAAATATAACAGCTATTAGTTAAGTCATTTTATGTAAAAACTTTTTATTCCTATATTATTCCTATATAAATTAGTAGGATCGATAGTAATGGCGAAAAAGAACGTGCACAGAAATACAACCAGTGGAACTGATTCTTCATCATCTGAAGATGATGAATTTGTAAGCTCATCATCATCTTCCGAAGAAGAGTCTGCAAGTTCATCATCTTCTGAAGAAGAGTCTGCAAGTTCATCATCTTCAGAAAAAGTTGTTAAGTATTTAGACTCAAGATCCTACAAAAGACTTAAAGCAAGTATTTATATATTTATTTGTTAGAATAAATATTTTTTTTTATTATTAGTGTATTTATTTGTTTTTACATATATTTTATAGAAAGAGGTGTTTATTTGGGTTGATTCTAACTTAAAAGACATATTTGAAATAGATATTAAGATTACTTGGGCAGAACAGAAAGATGAGATAGTTACGAAGCTACTTCCAGCACTTCGCAAACTGGTTGATAAAAGATATAAAGTAACAAATAAAGAACTATTAGATATGCTTTATAGACGTTGGCACTCCCGCCATCGAGAATATAATATTAGAATCCAAGGCGAAGAAAAAATAAAGAATAACAAAAGAAGAACTGCGAAAAACTCAAAGATGCAGGATGTAAGTAGCAAAAAAAAAGGAATAATAATTAGATAACAATAATTAGATAACTAATAATATTTTTTTTTACATTTGTAATGTTATTATAGAAAAAGAAAAGAAGAGTTGTTGCAGCGAATTATCTTATTCAAAACAATGACAATTATATTAATAGGTATCCTAAAAAAGATTTAATTAACATATTGAAAGAAACATCATACCATTTGGAAGAATGGGAAGAGACAGACCCCGAGGGCGAATGGCCAGTCACAATACCGGCGGTAGTTGAAAAAATTAAAGAACCACTTGATCCTTGCGATGATCCAGACGAAATAGACATTAATAATCTGGAGTTGTGGCTGGAAAAAGAGTTAATTGTAAAAGAAGCGGTCAAAACCAAAACAACGTCTATATATATATATGATAAATGGTGGCGCTCCCCAGAAGTATGTATATTACATTATTTTACTAATTTTTAATGTGTATATAATTATCACACACATTTATCAAAAACGGATATTATTATTAATTTAATTTATAATTTCTTTATTTATTTTATATTTTAAGCTTCGTCTTTTATTACATAAAAGAATCGATCCAACGGTCAATTTGTTAAGAACGAAGCAAACAACTTTAAAGTACAAAAGGATTGATGGTAATGTACAAGAAACTGGCACGCCACCAAATGGAGCACCTAGTTGGTGTCTAAATAAAGCAGCACTTGAAAGGCTTAATCGCTCGACTGAAGTACCGATTTATGACTGGGATTCTGAAAATGATAGCTATAATGGGGATGATGATGATGATTACAACAATCCTCCTGATATTGATAACAACAACAATAACAGGGTAGAAAGTTCCAAAAAACATAAGAGAAAGAAAAGAAAATATCATAAAAAAGAATCAAAAAAACGTAAATCAAAAAAATCAAAATGATATATTTTTTTTTGATTTATAATAGTGACATATATTATCTAATATTTTAAGGGGTGGGAAGAAATGTAAAAAACTAACGTATGTCACTGCCCTTATAAAGAAATAAATTTTCTGAATAAATATTATATAAAATTTTAGCTCAAAAGATATAAAAAACAAATAGAAAAAACACTTGCAATGTATATTCATTTTTGGTTGGGATCATTAGGAAGATTTTTTGCTTTAAATTTATATTCTTAAGATTATTTCACCCTGATTGTACCTCATGGGCAAAAAAATTTGTTTGATTATTTGATTTCTAAGTTTCTTTTGCTCGTTTTGTTCGTGTTGAATTCGTTCTTTTGCTCGTTTCGTTCATGTTGAATTCGTGCTTCGTGCTCAATTCTAAATTCATCAGTAAGTTAAATCAATGCATTAAAAAAGCACTGTAAAATTCGTAATAATCATTGCCACCAAAGCACTGGTTATTTAGCACAATAGGCATTAAACTGCGCACTGATTATTTGAGTAATCGGTAACAATATCAAGCTAGCGTGACTTTTTATTTTAGTTTGGCTTCTTTTCTTAGCGTGATTCATTTTTATTAGCAAATCGCATTTTTTGGACACATGTATTTATACCAAAAAAGGAAAGCCCTAGACAATGCGCCCATACACTTGATGTTTTTCTGTTTATTTGCAAAAACACGTGCTTTTACTATCAACATATATATAGCTACCGTAAGCCATTAGAAGAAGAATAAGTTACATCGCAACCTTTTCAGTTTTTGATTTTTCTTCTGGTTCTTTTAAGGACTAACTAAGCCTTTTCATAATTTCACGCACATAGCAAAATGGGTATATAGAACTTTACAGGCATAATATTTCAAAAGTTATTATTAACTTTTACACATATTTTCATTTTAGAATAAAAAATGTCACCATATGGATTAATCATATGATTTTTTGGTACATGTAAGGACTTTAGGTTTTATTTGAAAAAGATTCAAAATTATAAGTTACATAGATTTGTCACACATATATATATATAGTTTATTTTTCCCTTCTATTTTTCCTTCCTTCAAAAGAAGCAACCTTATTTTTTTCCTTCCTTCACAGGAGACTACCTTATTTCTTCTTAGAAATATTCTGAATTTTTCATTTAAACAAACTTAAGAAGAATGGGGGTTAAGTAAAAAAAATAAATAGTACATGTAAATCATTTAATTTTATAGTAATTCTAATTATATTATTATTTAAAGGTTTGGTTTTATACATTTTTGAGGACAAAACAGATAGAGATAGGTTTTATAATTATGTAAAAGATAAAAAACTTTGATAGGACCACGAAACAAAATATTAAATTTTAATTAAGCTTTTAAAGTAAGAATTATTCATGAAAGAGATGATTTCATGATTATGATGTAAGTTATTTTATAATTTTTAATGTTTACTGTGTTAATTAATATTATTTTGATTAGGGAGCGACAAACGCTTATAAATCCGCCGTCGCCATTGCAATCAAATCCATCACAGTCACCACTATATATAACATTTTTGAATTAAGGTTAAATTAAAATTATTTTATTGATATATATATTTAGAGTTTTATTTAATAGTTAACATTCTTTCTTAATCAAGTGACAAGTTAGTAATTTATCAGTTTATCTTCAATTAATTGGTATTGACAGAAATACACTTGAAGCCCATTTGACGTGGACTATATAAATGTCAAATTCAGTTACGACCACAAGTTCATTGAAACTGAGGGTAAATGTTTACAAAGGAATTTAATTAGTCCGGAGCGTAGCGAAGGATTCTACCGTAGTGGTATAAAATTTCCCGTTCACTGGTCAAAAATCAATATATCGGGTAGCAGATATGTATCAGATATGTACCCGATATGTGTAGTATTAATGCAGAAAATCGGGTACCCGATATGTGTAAGATATATGTAAATATATATATCATATACATATCGGGTACTGATATGTATATGATATGTAAATGATATGTAGACAATATATATATTTACACATATCTTACACATATCGGGTACCCGATTTTCTGCATTAATACTACACATATTGGGTATATATCTGATACATATCTGCTACCCGATATATTGGTTTTTGACCAGTGGTTGTTCTTTGAGTCGAAGTTTAATTGGTTCTTATATTATACGTAATTATCTCGATCGGTTAATTGAGATGTGATGATTTACCTGTATACTGATAAGCTCCAGCGTCACGTTATCACATTGATAATCAAAACAAATAAGTTGTACAAAGAAAAAAAAAGCTATTTTGGTAGGTTTTTCTTTTCTTTTTTTTCTTTAATTTTTTTTTTATTTTAATGAATGGTTCTTAACGTTCCTTTTTTTTTCTTTTTACAGAAGTAACAAGACTGGAAAGGCTGAGTTAGAAAAAAAACAGAAGTTAGTTTTATTTGGAGAATTCACTAGTGTTAGCTAGGAGCGTACTTTTTTGTTTTTTATGTTCTGGCGAGGACTTTTGGAGGTAAGTTGGGAATGATTTTGCCATTACTTACAAGAAACGTACTGACTTTAAGAAATGCACTGTCATTTTTTTTAATTTATGCAGGTTCCATATTTTTGAACTCCTTTAAAACGCGGTAAGCTATTGTTTTTGAGTGAAATTTTGGAATTGAATTTAAGAAATGTGCTGACTCCTTTTTTTGATTTTGATTTTGTAGGTTACAGCTTTTAGGATAATGATGGTACATTGATTTTTTTGAGTTGAGGTTTCGGAATTTACTTTAAGAGATGTGCTGACATTTCTTTTTTTGACTTTTGTAGATTCCAGACTTCATTTTTTGGCGAACGATATGTAAGTTTCGATATTTCAGAACTTCTTATAGGAAGCGTTTTACTAATATTTCCTTTTTTTTTGTAAGTTTTGGCCTTCTATCCTTGGGTGACAGATAGCATTATGGTAAGTTTCAATATTTTGAAACTTTAAAGCTTTATATTTTATTAAAGAACTGCATATTTATTAAAGAATTGCTTTATTAATGTTGAGATCTCCCAATTCCCTCTGTCATCAATTTACAGAGTTGCCACATCGAACGGGCATTCTCATGGTCGAACGAACAAATGAACGAACGAACGAACAATTAAACGAACGAGCGATTAATCAACAACATAATTAACAAACAACATAATCAACGAACAATATACAACAACATTCTTGGTTCACGACATAAATAGCGTTAGTAATATAAAACATCAAACGATATAAAATAAAATTAACTTCTCTAAATTTTCCCCAAATTATATCCACTTTTACCTTTAATTTCAAACTTCGATAGCTCTTGCTACGAATTATTACCTGTCTCTTATACACATCTAGATGTGTATAAGAGACAGAACTAAGCCTTTTCATAATTTCACGCATATAGTAAAATAGGTATATACACATATTTTCATTTTAGAATAAAAAATATGTCACCATATGGATTAATCATATGATTTTTCGGTACATGTAAGGACTTTAGGTTTTATTTGAAAAAGATTCAAAATTATAAGTTACATAGATTTGTCATACATATATATATAGTTTATTTTTCCCTTCTATTTTTTCTAGAGCTCCGAATGAGTCAAGTCGGGTCAGATAATTGACTTGACCTGACCCAAGGCAAGTCATAAATTTGGTGACCCGACCCAAATATCACAAGTCAATTCGGATACGTGACCCAACCCATTAACCTGATATATTTTGGGTCAAAAAAACGTTTCTTTTACAATTATTTTATGGAAAAGTACGTTTTGGCACTTTTTATTACGCCAAAACGTATTTTTTTTGTTTCTTCTAATGNATTGATCGACTCTATTTATCCTATTGGTTCTTTGTCAATCATTTGATAAATATTACATCATGTAGATCATTACTCTTCCTAAATGTTTATCCTTTTCGGCTAATTATTTATCCATCTACGCCAATTCATAATCAATTTGTTTGTTCTTAATATTTGGCAATTGCATTTGGTGATTGAATTTTATCATCTTTTCATGCTTGATATTCGACCGTTTACAACGTTTCAATTTTTTTTATAGATCCCGGAATTCTGAATTTTGAACCTGGGTAAGTTTTGAATGTATTTTTGGGAGCTTCTAAAAAATGATTTTGTTAACAGTTTATTTATTTTCTCTATAACAAATAGATTCTGGCCTCTGGTGATTGATAATGGATACCAAATTACATTTTTTTTATAGATCTTGGGTGTCAGAATCAAAGTTTCTTTGCAAATTTACTTTTGGAGAACGGGTTCTAGATACTGATCACGTGGCTTATCGCTTCAGACTTACCATTTCCCTAGTATTATTTCAAAAAATGAAGAGTAAAAAATTTCTATCAACTTCCTAAAAGGTAAGCTTTTTTTAATTTTAAGAAAATTAATAATAAATTTTTATATATTTAATATATAATTAATAATTTTACTAAAACAGTTTCGATCCCGAAAAGATGCAAAAATTAAATTGTTTTAAAGTGGTATTCGCTAGAAAAATTAAAACTACCTATAATGAAAAATGACTATTAATTTTTACATTTTAAAAAATATTTTTTTAATAAATAAATATTATATTTAATTTGATTCCATATACAATGAACTGCTAAAATACTATGATAAATATCATAAAATCCTGTATTAAACGATAATTGTCATTGATATATTATTATATATTAAATTAGGTGTGTGGATACAATGACCGTCATTGATATATTATATATTTTATACATGTCGAATACTGACATACGGATATTTATCAGACACATTTCTGACATGTATTTGGTACCTATCAGCACTGACTGGTATCTATCTGATATTTATTATAGAAAGAATATCGGTTATCTGATAAGTGTATCATATACTGTATGTCCGATATTCTACTATATCTCCAAATTTACGCATAAACACCACACGTATCAGATACCCGATACGTATGTATACGTTGTATATTACCCTCCTTTCTTGTACATATCGGGCACATATTGCACACCCGATATGTACCCGATAATCTCGATTTTGACCAGTGCTATAAATTTTTTATACTGCTAAGCAATTTATTTTATGACATATTTATATTTATATATAATCTTTTCTATAAAATATGTATATAAAAAAAACTAAAAAAACAAAAATTTTTGAAATAATGTATGGATAAAGCTATTATTATTTTTTTGTAATATTACAACTTATAAATGTTTCTTATAAATATTTCGTATATCTGTTCTGTAACTTCAGAGCGTAATTTAGGCACTTTAGTCAAAGAAAACATCCAAAACCTTCTTCTTAAGTAAAGTTGTTCAGCAGGTTCGAATCTACTTACATATAAATTTTTATCATGATTGAATAGATATTTATGGATTTATTCATGTTTTTGTAACGCCACCAATACGCGAAATTTTTATTTTTAAAATTTACTGTAAAATTTGTCAAAAAAAATATTTTTAAAAAATTTTCTAAGTAAAAATGAAATAACTTTTATTGATTATTACAAAATTAAAATTATAGTGTAAAATTATAAAAAAACAGAAAACCACTTATTTTTCCTTTCACACCCACCTGTTGCTCTCATTTTTAATATATATTTTTTAAATGCGTATATGATTTATAATTTTAATGTTATATGGACGCATATTTGTTTTATCAAAAACACATTACACAATCACGTCTAAAAATGTTTCCTGTATTACGTATACAATTAACTTATTCTTTGTATTAAAAATAGTAAATTTTTTCTACTCAAACATATTTATAACTTTGTTTACATATTTTATTAATTTTTTTTAATGTGAAAAATGTAAATATATCTGATATATTATATTATATATCTATATATCTATCTATATATTAAAAAATACTGCAATCACGTAGGCGTTATGTTTAGATTAACCATATAAATAAGTCATTTGAATTGTGTAACCCTACTCCTATTCGTCACCAATATTACACAAAACTAAAAAAAGGAAATTTTATCTTCTGTTACTTTTTAGAGAAATTAAAAAAATTGTATTGCTCAAATTTCCAAAAAAGGAAATTCTTTGCAAATCTTTTAATTCTGGCTGAAATTATGCCATATATTAAAAAATTCTATCCTGCTATGCAAATATATATCTGACTATTAATAATTTAATACTTTGCTACATATAATTATATCTGACTATTTAAAAATTATGTTATCAAATAAGCAATAATAAATCTCACATAGGAAAAATTTTTATATGTTGGCTAAACAAACTCAAAACCTACCTTTATATATATTGTTCAGAGTCCTTAACTACTGATTCCTTTTTTTAGTATGGTGTAATACTCATGGGATATATTTACCATTGCACGTCAGCAGCGGGTAAGCAATTTTTTCGATCGTTTAGGATTTTTTAAAGATCTGATCTCTCCTTTGTATTGTGATTCCTTTAAGTATAATTAATAAAAAAAAATAAAAAAAAAATAAAAATATATCATATATCGTGGGTTATAGTACCCTTTAAAGATATTAGCCTTAATTATTTTTTAAAAAATTTTAAATTATGGCTATAAGATTTTTATAGCCTTAATTAATTATAGCATATAAAAATTTTATATTATGATACTTTTTTGAATTATAGCTAACATCTTTATACCCCCCTATATATGGTATCCTTCTTGAAAAATTTCATAGAATTGTATAGTATTTAGAAGAATATTTTGCAATTATTTTGTGATTTAGTGATCAGATTTGAGTAATCTTTTTTTTATTTGATAGTTCTCATTGAGCTCTTCAAAATAAAAAAAAAAAATGATTGCTCAAATTGAATTGGTAAATCATAAGATATTTACAAAAAACAGAATTTTTAAATTTTGTTTAGTACTTGAAGGTATAGCGTAGAGTCATTGTACAAAATCTATTCAAAATTTGCCAGATTTTCTGAAAAATTTCTAATAAATCCAGTTATTTTTTTAAATTCAGAAATTTTTTGGACATGACATAACAGATTTCTGGTAAATTTTACAAATGCCGGAATTTATATATACAGTAACACCTCCATAATAGCATCCTCTATAAGTGCACTCCCTCTTTATATGCACATCATAGTCCGGTCCCAAGCTTGGAACTTAAAGCTAAGTGCACTCCTTCTATATTCTGCATGTGCAAGCAATTCTGAGTCTCGGGTATATTGGAATACCCTTCATAAGTGCATTCATGTGACTATTGACCAATAACAATAAAACGGTTAATTATTAAAATAGATAGATTAATTTATTATTTGTATATATTATGGTGTTTTTATACATTTCTGAAAATAACATTATTTGATTTCTAATAATTCTATTAAAAAAATCAAATTATTTTGTATAAGTGATTGCTACGAACTATAATTACAATAAATTCAAATGTAATGCTCTTGTTTCGCTTTTATTACACTTAATTAAATACATTAATGCATTTAAGATAAGTTAAATCAGTTAAAAGCATGTGAACATTTGTTTAGTCAATAATCCTAAATTAGTATAGTTGGGGAAGATTTTTTAAGGAGATTATATTTACAAGAAAATAGTGCATGATGCAAACCCCATAGAATAAAAAGTAGATTATTGGATTCCTGTCATATATCTAAATTAACGAAAAAAGATGATGATTTCATCATTATATAATAACATTAAAATCAGCCATATGTTCCATATGTCTCTAAAAATGTCTGTCAAAAAAACCACCCTTACTGAGATATAAAAGCGAGAACTTTGTATTTACACTCATAATAATAAAAAAATCTGAGCTCAGTATGTTGATTGGATTGAAGAAAAATGGAGCGTCAGAGTTAATGAGAGCACCATTACTTGTATTCTACAAACATCAGATAAATGTTTTAATTCAGAAACTATCAGTTCAAATACAAAATGGCATAAACCAGTTACCTATCCAGAAGTCGAGCTTGCACTTAAGAAGTTCGTATTAAACTACCAGCATTGAACGGTATTAAGTGATGCGATCCTTATTGAAAAAGCCAAAATGATTGCAAATGGCTTAGGTATTCCTCAAGATGCATTATAATTTTCTCTGGGATGGCTTCATAAATTTAAGGATCACAATGGAATTCGCCAACAAAAACTTGAAGGAGAAGCTTCATCTGCTGATGAAGCAGCTATCGCTAATGCCTTGCCTTTATTAAAAAACTTTGTTCCAATTACCCTCCTGAAAGAATCTATAACATGAATGAAACGGGACTTTTCTATAGGTAAATTTACTAAATTAATTAAAAAAAAATTTTAAAACATAAAATTCATTGTACACGATTATTGATAATTTGTAGGCTAGAACCTGATCAAACACTTGCAACAAAACGATTTTCTAGACGTAAAGTGAACAAAGAATGCCTTTCAATTGCATTATATGCAAATGCTGATGGATCACACAAATTAAAACCTTTAATCATTGGAAATTTTAAAAAGCCTTGCTGTTTTAAAAACATAAATATTCAAAACATGCCCATGACATACCATAACAATACCAAAGCCTGGATGATCACAACACTCTTCCAAGAGTGGATTAAAGAATTTGATTGTCAAGTTGATCTAAAGCATCAAGGCCAGCACGTGTTATTTCTTCTTGACAACTGTTCCAGTCACAAAATATCTGGCCTTACCTTACGATACACTGATATTTATTTTTTGCTTCCAAACACAACTTCAAAAATCCAGCCAATGGATGCTGGAATAATCATATCATTCAAACAATATTATCATCATTTTTATATGCGGTAAGGTATATTGTTAGATCTGCTAATTATTACAACATCAAATCTAATTGCTTATTTTTAAAGTTGGATGCTGCGATATGTAGAAGCAGGTGGGCATACAGAAGATTTACGCATGGATGTTCTGCAGACTATTCGTTATATCATTCAAGTCTGGGATGAGGTTAATGCTGAGATAATTTGTAACTGCTGGTGCCACACAAAAATCCTACCTGATGCAAATGTAGATTTAAGAAATATTTCAGAAGATATTCGCCAATGTGAAGATTTAGTACTTAATGATCTTGCAGATGCTCTTCAAGGCCTTAATCTCCCCTATCCAATGCAGGCAGAAAAGTTTCTTAACATATCTGAAGAAAATGTTATTTACAAAGTTCCCAAAGATGATCAAATTATTGAAGAACTCGTATATCTTTTTAAAAATGCTAACAAGGAGGATATAGAATTAGAAGAAATGGATGATAGCAATAAAAGTTCTATTATTAGCGTTAATATTGCAATTAATAGTTTAGAAACTGTATGTATATTTCTGCTTCAGCAAGACAATGCGGAAGAGTATATAAAGTTGGTGGAAAAGATTGAAAAAATTTTTAAGGTCAAAAAACAAACTTAATGCGGCAAACTGACCTTAATGCATATTTTCATTAAATAAATATATTTTTCGCAAAATGTTTAAATCAGAAAATAATATTAAATAAATAAAATTTTTTAATTGTGTAATATGATTTATTTTTTTATTGGTTGTTCTTTAAGTGCACACACGTGCACTTAGTATGAAGGTGTTACTGTATATATTTTTTACTCCCTAAGCCACATAATTGCGAAAAGCAGAACTGCAAAAGCAATTTCGAAAAAAGTAAGTCTCCACAATATATTATAACAGAACAATTATTTTGAATTTTTAAAAATACGGTATGTTTAACTTTATTTTCAAAATTTTGTATTCTTTTCTCTTGTATAGTTGTATTTATTTTATAATATACCTTTTTTAAAATTTTTTTATAGGAACAGTACATTTTCTGGGGTAATTTCAATTTAAAGAAAATGGTGAATATATTGCAGCTGCTTAATGGACACATTATGAAAGTATTATGGTAAATTGTTTTAATGATCTAATATTCTTTTTATTTCAGTAATAAATTTGACAAAATGGAATATAAGATTATTTTTTAATACCAATGTCTTTTTTGATTATTTTAAATAGTAAATACACGATTATAGTCAAACTTGGAACTTTCTGGTCCTTCTAAAGAGACACGCATCATCATATCTAATGTATTTGTCGTTAATAAATTTCTGTTTTTGGTTTTAATTTAATTCTGTCTACTAAAACCACATTCATATTCTATACTTGAAAAGGGTATACAATATATTAATTGAATTAATTTGATAATATTTAGAAAAATATCATTATAATCTTGAATTAGTAAGGAAAGAATTGTATCTATATCTTTAGAAGAAAGATTATTGCTAACAATCATTTTATTAAATCCCGTCCATTCTTGTCTACATTTATTAATATTAAAGAGTGCTGATGATTGAATATTATTATGAATATTTGGACACTCATAATATTTTAATAAGTCTTCTAATTCATTATCTCTAAAGAATAATAAATCTTGAAAGTTTTTGTACCATTCTTGTGAATTCAATATTTTCATAGAAACAAATAATGATCTATTAGGAAACCGTTATTGTAATTCAGAAATAATGCTTGTTGAATAACTATATATATCCATTAAGAATTTATCATAATCCCGCCCATTAAAAGAAATATTATATCCCATATATTCAATTGAGCTATTTCCAAATGGGTTAGTTTTATCAATAAATCTTTGAACATTATATCCGAATTTTTGTGATTGATCATTTATTGAATATTCTTTTTAAATAGAATTAATTGTGACTTATATCATTAAATCTATATCCGAAAATCGCAAATTTTTTTTTGTAAAAATTTACTCAATTGCATTACATGTTCTAAAATATCATAAAAAATATAAAAATGCCAACATTCTCTAAGATGTTAATTTATTATATACTAATTTTAGCCCTCCATCATTCTTTGCTTCTTCCAAATACTTTTAATAGCTTCATACTATGCAAGCCAACATATTTCATATAATCTCTTTATTTTTAAAATAGAACAATCTAAAAAATCTTGAATTTCTTTTAATTGTTGAATACGTGAGCATGAATTTTTGAAATAACCATAAATTTTTTTAACTAATAATTCAGCTTTCTTATAAAACTCAATTTCTTTTCTTGCATCTTTACATATTAAAACTAATCTATAAGCTACGCAATGATTAATAATTAAAGGATAAGTGCATATTTTGGAAAGTTTTGCTGCTACACCTTCATTTTTTCCTAATATAACTGATGCACTATCCGAAGCAAATGCTACAAGCTTAGATAAAACTCCTTTTCTTTCAAAAATATCAATTATTGCACAAATAATACTTTCTGCATCACATTCAGTTAAAGGTATAAGACATAAAAAATGGGTTTTGACTATTCCTCGTTTAGCTACATATGAAATATATATATCTAAATGTTTGGTTGTCGTAATATCTGTACTCTCATCAATCATTATTCCAAATGCTACAACATCAGATAATTCTTTTCAAATTTCATTTTCAATAGTTTTAGATATTGCTATTAGAAATTCGTATCCTGAAATCTCATTTGTATATGTAATTGACCCATTAGAAATATTTGGTGTTCCTGATTCTTTCATCATTGCAATAATAGAAGGTAAAAATCAGAGTGGTAAATTAGAACTCGCTTACTTATAATAAAGGTCACTGTAGAAAATTAGCCCTTTACTAATAGTTTTTATCTTACTTTTTTCTTAAATTCTATTGGTTAATTAGCTAAAAAGGAAAAAAATCATAATAATGTAACATAAAATTTCCTTTTATAATAGGATCTGCAAAGAATTATATATATATAATTTTCTAAAATTATTAGTTTTATTTTAAGGGAAGTTACATATATTATGTAATATTTAGTTTAATATAAACTTACTTCCTCCTTCCCTTGTCAGATTTAATAACCAATTAAATTATAATATTTATAAATTATATATTTTATTAAGTATAACGTAAGATTTTGGTTACCCCTTTCCCCTTTGATAATTATATAATATGTGTAAACTTTCTTAAAGAAAAAGATGAATATTAATTATTTCTTTTTATTTAAAAATGATTTCAAGTTGTTTCTTAGAAATATATAAATAAATAAGTCAATATTTTTTATCTCAGTTTTTTTATTTTTAATTTTATTAAAAATAACTAATATTCTTTTTTTTATTTTTCTATAAGAATCTATTTCTACAGAATTATAAATATATTGGTATATTGAAAATAAATTAAAGAAATGTTACTAATCATATTTCTTTTTTTTTTATTTTATAAAAAACAGAACTTTTAGGCTGTAATAATAAATTAAAGGGTATTATTACTTCTGAGCATTTATTTTTTTTTATTTTTCTTATATTTAAAATTTAAATGCTCTTTTTAATAGAATTTGGATTTGACAATATAACATTAAAGTTAAAAGTTAAAATGTGTATATATTTTAAAAGTAATTATATTGAACTTTTGATAAATTATCTAAATTTTAGTAATATAAATCTACAAGTATAATATAAAGTGAATTTTAGTAAATATTTATTATATTGTATAAATCTGTTTAATGTAAAATTAAATTTCTTTTTCCAAAAATATACATTTTATAATATGTAACCTTATGAAATTATATACTTTTTTTATTGTAACCTAATTTTATGATATACTATTTTTACATATGACTTTTATTTAAAATACCTTTCCATTAAAAAAAAAATACTTTTTTTGCATATGACCTTTATTATCCTTATTAAGGATTCTTTTAATGAATCAATGTGTAATCTGGGTAGTCTTATCACACCATCTCGGGTAGCACAATTATCATGGGTTAGTAAAAGGGTGGGACGTGACATATGCAAGTGACAAATAGAGCTCTGAAATGAATGATGAATATAAATAACGCGAACGCAAAGATTATCCTGGTAATCTTGTAATCTTCTTGACGAATGCGATAAATGCATCAAAATGCATCATTGTAAACAATTTAAACACGTCTTTAATTAAACGCGTAAATCTAATTTAGTAAAATATCATATGCGTAATCATTTTGGATAAATCTATAAATTGAAACTTTTGTTCTTAATTTTTTCATTCTTCGTTCAATACAAAAAAATCATATTAATACATACGAATTACGAAAAATCATATTACATTACCTTTTTTTTTTTTTACTTCGAAAGATAATAATATTAAAATGATCTTTAATTCCTCTCCAAGTTATGGTACACCTGTTTCATTCGATAGCTTTTATATAAATACGCGAAAAACAAAATTGGTCTCCTTTTCAAATAGCGACTCGAGTCAAAATTTCGAGGTAATTTATGATAAATATCTGGCAAAAAAAAAATTATTCAATACCATTTTTTTCTCGTTATTAGACAAATGATGATGATACAAAAAAAAGAGAAGAAGTCCTTCAATTGACGCCAAGGCCTCATAAAAGAGCTTCAACAACTCAAGATTTCAAAAGATCAAACAAAAGAGTACGATTCACAACCTGTAATGCCTATTACTTATTCTATTAATGAAATAATTAACGAGAATCGGGGTTGATCTTTTTGTGTAAACGTACTCCTTGCAAATTAGAAATTATTTTTTTTCTTATCTTTTTTTTTTGTAATTTTTCTAATAATGTATTAATTAGATCAATCCAATGTTATTAAATAAATTTTTGTGAATCAAACTATTAAAATAATAAAATTAGTGAAATTAACGAATCTGTTGGGTTTATGGCCTTTAGATCAGTTCCTCACAATAATATATATATATATAATCTCTTGTGGTAGGATGGGAGTAACTCGGAGCAGAATCGATTATTTCGGTTCGTTAGTCCAATTCGCTTCTAGGTATTTTTGATACGAACGGCTCAAACCGATTGACATTATAGGTTGTGATCAAAAAAAAAAAAAAAAAAAAAAAATTTAATCACGAGAGAGTAGTAATAGATCTTTATTTAATAACCAAAAATATATTGCACTAATCAAAAAATATATTGCACTAATCAAAAATATATTGTACTAATCAAAAATATATTGCACTAATCAAAAATATATTACACTAATCAAAAATATATTGCATTATCAGAATCACATCTAAATTCTTTAATTACTCCTAAATTTTTGTATTTACTAACAAGTCTCGAATAACCCTCCATTCTATAAATAGGATCAGACGTAATTATAGTAAGCGCAGGCCTGCGTTTCCATCCTCCGAAGAATTTCTCCAAGTTTTCCAAAGAAAATTTATAACTATCAAAGAATCTAATTTCCCTTAAATTGGTTGGTGCATATTTTAATAATATTTTTAACAAAGCATCACCTTTTTCTAACATTTGTTCATAAGAGGTTCTTTCTACTCCTAATATAACTAGTAATGATTTCAAATTTTTACTAGATTTTAATAAATTTTCCAATTCTAATAGATGTTGATCCGAGTAAGAAACTAAAATTGATAGACGTTCAACCAAAGGACAATTTTCATA